TTTTTTTACAAAATGAGATTTAAGACAAATTATAAATGAAAAGGTGTCCTTTTATTATTTCTCAGACAAAATGCGGCATATTTCTTTGTGAAATTGACATTTTAAATAAAACGAACTTGAAATTTTAAAACAAATCCCAAATCAAATAAATTATACAACTAAAAGAAATCTCTTCATATAAACAAAGGCGTTGCCTGTGCTCTATTAAAAATCAGAGGCAACCAGTGCATTTGAATTACTATACAAAAAAGATTTTAAATACATGTTATTTGGATTGTATAATTTAAAAATTTGAAGCAAAAACAATGATTTGATGTTAGCTTTGTGAATGAGATGCAAATGTCACTCTGACAGCAGGTGGCACTATTGGAACAGCAGATATTTATAGGCTGCTGCCCCTTTAAGACCGAATGCACAGATCCAATATAATGATGCACAGGAGATTTCTTTCTCCACTGTTTACGTTCACTTAAGACATAACCGACAGCGTTTACGAGAATACTTGCAGAGACAATTATTTTGAGATAATTTTGTGTGTATGTGTTCATTCAGAAGCAAGGATACGTGAAAGAGGAATCAATTCTGTGTACGCGCATTGTCTGAAACGCGGCTCCCTGAGCGCGCTTTGAGTGCGCGCAGAAACCAGTGTGCTAGCTCCGAACGAGCGCGAATGTTTTAAAATGCTTGAATGTTTATATCGGCAAGACTTAGAATAGGGCTGGGCGATATAGCTAAAAATTTTATCAACGATATAATGTTTCACATTGTTCGGTATCGATAATTATTGACATTTTTATAACCTTTTTAAAACAAAAAGCAATAGAAAAAAAAATGCTTAAATTTAACCACTGTATTTATAATTCATTTATTGAGACAAACAACAAATATTTTTTGTTTTAATCAAACAATAAAAATTAAACAAATATCTAATTTCTAATGTTTTATATGCAGATTAAATAGGTCTTTATTGTATAGGTCTAATTGTCTCCCGAGGCCACAGGAGGGTGCAATGAGCAAAATAATGCAGCGCATT